ATGGGCGGTACCTGGCAGAGGAGAAGGCGATGCCTAAGACACGAATGCCCTTCCCTTGGTTCTCGTCCATGAAGTCATCATCTTCTTCTACCTGCTGATCTGGCCGGTAGGGCGCCACCCTCAGCCAGTTGTATAACTTTCGACTACAGGCCTAGAGAAGGGACACAGGAGACGCTGGGGTCCAAGTGTGCTCAGGCAACTGATGCTGAGGCACCTTTGCAAAAGCGCGTGCTGCTAGAGGCACCCGCTCCTATCCCAGGAACGTTGGGAAGCAGAAGCGCCCAGAGGAAACTATACAAAGAATGCACAGAGGTGGGAAGAGGCTACTGGAGTGGGGAGGTTCGAAGAGGACCCCCTGGCCTTGCCCTTACTGCTTGCCTTCTGGATTTGCTCCCCTCTGCCCCTTGCCCCCGCAGGCCCCAGGGTTCCTCCATTAGCTGTGGGATGACTGATCACGGGTTCCCTCGCTCTCAGCTATAGCTGAGAGCCAGTATACTAGTAAGACCGACCATGCGTGCTTCTCTCCTGACCTTTACGACGTACTCCTTGGCTTCAGACAGGAGCTTGTTCTTGAGCTCTTTGGCCACCTGCACATAGAGGAACTGCTGCAAAGCTCGCTCGATGGCCATGGTGCGCTGACGGTTCCACTCCTGCACCTGGTGGCTGAACTCGTCTCGGTAGTAAAACTGCTTGATCTCTTCAAAATAGGTCTGGTCGTTGCCATACCTGAGGGGAGAGCCAAAACCGGCCGGTTAGGGGGGGGACAAAGGCTGTCCTGAACGTCCCTGAGTGCTGGGAGTGGGCCACCCCGCAGGGCTAGGCTTACCCCTCGACTCCCTTCATATCTATGCTGATGTCAATGGTGAGCAGGCCCTCATCTTCAGCCAGGCAGATCTTGAGAAACTGGTCATCTCTGAGCTCCTTCACAGGTTTGTTCTTGAGGTATTTGAAGGAATAGGCATAGTGGGCCTCATCCACATCCTGTCCACATCAAGAGGGAGTCATCAGCCTACAGAGAGGCTGGGCTCAGGGAGGAAAGATGCTCTTTCCTTCCAGGCAGACAGCTCAGAGAGGTATGAAGACACTCTTCAGCAGTTTCAGAGTGGCTGGGGCCACATGTTGGCGCAGAGCCCTCCACCTTGCTTACCTTTCTACCTTTCTTGGTGGGGGTTATATTTAGCTTGGCTCTCTCCTGAAAGGTCTGCCTGAGCACTTGCCGGACGAGGGGCTCTCGGGCAATCTGCAGGGCTACCATGTACCGGGCACCTTCCAGCACAGATTCCGGTGTAGGAAATTGACTGTGGGGAAAACAGCGTAGCCATGGGATGGGGGTCCACCTTGGCCTCCAGGCCCCTCTCCCGAAGCCACCTGCTGCCTGCCCACCTGCAAACGTAATCCTTGGCCAGCTCCAAAGGCTCTGCGGGGAACTGCTCCGTCTCGTGCCGCTGGTAGCTATCCCGGAGATTCTCTCCAAACTGCTCAGGGGTGAGCCCGAACTTCTTGGCCAGGCCATCTGAAGCACACAGGAAAGTCCACCGTAGGGCAGCAGCAGGTGGACACAGCTCTGAGTTAGAGCGGCAGGGCTGAACACTCCTCTTTATAGGAGTTGCAAGTGGGCGGGGCAAAGAGAACACTGAGCAATGGAGAGACCTGGCTTTAAACACCTGACAGTCTGTTAGGCAGAACGAGGTGTTTTCTACATGACTTCTGGGCTCAGACTTAAGATGGAAGTGCAGCTTCGTAACACAACCTCCCAAAGCTAGCTCTTCCTCGGGTCCCATGAGCTTCGCACTGTTTCAGACAGTCCTGGCGAGTGTGTGTGGAACTGTGTGGCCAGGGCTCAGGAAACAGGCCACTTTGGAACTGGTCTAGTAATCCACCCAGATGTCCTTTACGTCCTTGTCCTAGCTGCCAGCAGCTCCCCCCTTGCCGAAGCTATCATTTACCTAGCCCAGCGCTCTGGCAGATGGTGTACATGTCTCGGCGGGAGGCCTGCTTGAGCTCTGGCCCCCTCTGATCCTCATCTTCTGCCTCCTCACCTTCACCTGGCGAGAAAACACTTGGTGTGTTAGTGCTCTAGTTGCCAATCACACCCAAATATCACAAGGACATGGAGACACCCTGCCAAGAACATATTTGAACGAGGCCTTGGCCATCAAGCCTCCTGGGCTTTCCTCATGACCCACCTTCTTCATCCCCCTCTTCCCTTATGCGCTTCAGTTTCTTGCGGCTAGCCTTGGCGGCATTCTGCATCTTGGGGATATCGCGACCATAATAAAGCAGGAAGTGGTTGTACACGTCTTTCAGCTCATCCACCGACTGTACATCTTTGAGCCTAGAGGGCAAGGACAGAGGCCACAGTTGTTCTAGGCAGAGAGGCAGGATATCTCCAGCAGAGCTCAAAGGCCTTGAGATCGTCCCTGTCCCGTAAGTTAGCTCAGCTTCATCACCAAGTCCGTGTATCATCTGCCTCTGCAAGCTATTTTCTGATCATTAATGGCTTTCCTGTGCAACTTTACCTACAAAGGAATGAACATACAGAGCAGCAGAAATGAATGTTCCATCCTTTTAACAGTTAACTGTTTGGTAAATAAACGGCATTTGTCACTTTGGACTGGTGAAGAGTGGGTCCTGTGCTGTCAATCTCACAAGGCAGTGTGGCGCCCGGGGCCCAGCCTTAAGTCTAAGACTCCCTGTCCTGGCAGAAACCCCGCACAAGATACCTCTCCATGTCAGTCGTGTCCAGAGCCCGGATGCCATCAGCAAGAGGTTTGTCAGGGTCAGCCGAGATTTGCTCGTACTGGTAAGCCTGCATCTTCTCGAACAGCCGCGTGAGGTTCTCTTTGCGGATCCTTAGCTGGGTCCACTGGACGGGAAGAAGGCAAGTCAGGGCTGGCTGCTGATTGGCTCTGAAGGCAGCTGCATGCCTTATCAGGACAGCCCAGAGGCTGGGTTGGCCCAGGGGGCTAGACCCTAGCAGCAGTAGTGTCTAACCCGCTCCCTGGGGAAGACAAGGATGCACATTACCTTCTCATCCCACTGCCACACTCTCCAGAGGTCATTAATGTGCAATTCAGGCTCCACATACTCCTTCCGGTAGAAAGCAATAAAAGGCACCTAGGATGGCAAGGGACCACAGTTGCCCAGGGAAGCCAGGCCTGCAAGGGGCCCCTCCGGTCCAGGGGACAAACAGCGCTTGGACAAGTTAACAGTTGGAAGCCAGGCCTCTCTCATAGGCGCCTCTGGACCCGCGCATGGCTCCCCCTGCTGGTGGCTGATGCTGCAGACACAGCAGTCATTCTCTCCATCCCTGGGGTCTCTTCTGTCTTCACACTGCTGGACCAAGGCACCAGGGAAGCTACTGGTCCCCTTCCCCCTAAGGAAACTTCTAAGCAATGAGCCAGTCTGATGAGCTTGTTACCTCAAAATGCTGATTTCGCATGAAGCCCAGGGCTTCTTTAATCTTCTGGATTGTGCTGGGTCCTTTCCGACTAAAGCTGCTTGCCGGCTGCCCACGGTCCAGGTAATCACAGCTTTCCTACAGTGGAAAAAGGAAGTCAGCATGCAATGGCTTCCCACACGGGGTGGGGAAGCGTCAGGAACGTGGCTTCAGAACCCACGAGGACCGTGTGAGAGGAGCCTAGAGGGATCTCACGCACACACTTTTCTGTAGTGGGTAGGCACAGAAAGTTCCGGGTGGGAGGAGTAGAAATTCTATCTTGATGAAGTGGCTGTGAATTCACCTCAGCGCTTAAGAACTTTTTAAAATACCTGTAGAGAAATGGTTGGTGTGGCAAAGGCATTCCGGTAGATCCAGTCGGCTTCTTCTTCTAGTTCATCATCCTCAGCCGCCTTGACTGGGATGGAACGGAGCTGCAGGGATAAGACAGAGGCATGAGACCGAGTCTCCCATGTATCCACTTCAGGAACGCTGGCCCTACTTCTTCCTGGACCCTCAGATCCACACTGTTGGTACCCACGCTGTGTGGTCTTGGCACGACGTGGGCACTTCAAACACGTGCTAAGGAAAGAGTACAATCTCAAGGACCGTATGTAAGCCCCGGAGAAGGTATTCTACTAGAAGAGAGGCCAGCGGGGAGAAGGTATGGATGTGGGGGCAGGGTAGCAGTCTAATGCAAAAAGGATGGGAAACGTAACCCCACCTAATCCACAATGACAAGTGCAAGAAAAACATAAGCTTGGCAAGGGTTTATCCCCTGCAAGGGGGGGCCGACAGCAGTTCAAGCCACTCCTCAATGTGAGCCTGAGATCGCTCCATGTCAGACTCCTGCAAGACTATTTCCTGGCATCCACCCTTTTAGCAGCAGGTTTGGGGCGGGTGGTTTCTCACCTGGAATCGCTCAGGCAGGTCCGTGGCTCGGATCTCATTGTCCTGATCAGTGAGGTGGCTGCTCTCCAGCTCACTGGGCTCATACACTTCGAAGATGCTCCTGCGGCTCACGCGCTTCTTGGCGGTCTTCTTGGGGCGCACTCGGATTTCGCCCTCAGCCTCATCGTCCTCGTACTCGTACTCCTCCTCCAGTTCCTCATCGTACTCGTTGTACTTCTCAAACTCGTCGTAGTCGAAGTCCACCCCGAAGATCTCCTGGGCTTCCTGCAGAGCGCTGTGGGGCACAGTAAGCAGCAGTTGGCCCGGAGAGAAACGCCAGCCCCTTTTCTTGCTCCCAACGGAACTGAGAAGGGGCAGAGAACAGTAAGGAAGTCCAAAACCATCTTCACTAGAATTAAGGCCTGGCTGGGGCATCTCTTTGGGTAATCAATTCTTTACCGCAGGATAAAAGCTCATCTTGCTGGTGAGGGGCCCAAAGAGCAGCAGGACAGAGGCGTCCGCAGGTTGCTCCGTGGGCTCCCTCCGCTGAGGGCTGAAGAGCACAGGCTTTCAAGCGTGGATCGAAACCACAGAAACACCTCCATAGGACAAACAGCCTATATAAACCACAGCCTCACCTACCCCGAGACCAGGACTGGGTGGTGCCTGGCTATCACTACCACCCAGTCTAGAAGACTCCATAGAGATGCCTTTAAACTCTAACCCGATACTCCCAGTACAGACTGACTCATGAAATTAAGAATAGCACTGAGTACTCTATGCCTTTACAAAATTATCTCTGAGAGACCAAATGGTCAGTATTTACCTTAAAGCCCAGATGTCAAAGGGGCAAGGGCACCACTGTAATCAGTGTAAATAAGAACTGGATTTGCTGTGTTACAAACAAACAAGCAAGTGGAGGGTGATGGAGTCTTGCCCAATATGACTTCACCCTAATCCCACGGTGTCCGAGACACCCCAAAGCAAAGCCTCCAGAAGCAGTCTGAAATGACCCCTCGAAGAAGTATCTGAGGCAGGCAAACAAAACCACTGTGAGCGGAAGTCTGGTTTTCCTCACAAGAGACCCGTGCGCTTCTCCTTCCCGACCAGGCCCTTCCAGTGCTTTCCCGACACCGCACCCCACCCCTACTCACGCATCGGTGTATCCAGGAAGCTTCTTCCGCCACTTAGGCTTCTTCAGAGGCTGCCCGTCATCGTCCACAATGAAGTCGTCAATGTCTGCACCGGGAAGAGGGGGGCTTGTGCTCAGTCCCGAATGGCTGTCCCACCATGGGATGAGGGGAGGGACGGGGAAAAGAGGAGACCCTCACAGGAAGACCCAGGGGTCTTTTCCCAAGAAAACACTTGTGTGTGTCAGGTGATGAGGGTCTGTAGTTGAAAAACAGTCTCCCATCCTGTCCCAGGGGCCACAACTTGCCATACCACATACCTGACTCTTCATCATCTTCTTCCTCTTCCTCTGGAGGAGCAATGGGGGCCTCCACAGCCTCCTGGCCCTCTTCCCCTTCCCCATCTTGGAAGATCTCCTCCGCGATGGCCTCTTTTTCGTGCTCTTCCTTGCCATACTCCTCTTCATCGTCCTCCTCGTCATCTGACATTTTCTTGACGCGCCGGTACTTTTGCTAAGGGGAAAAGCTGCCCCGTTAGGGTCTGCAACAGTCGGCACCCTATCTTTCCACCACTGTTATGCAGGGGAGGGCGGCGAGAACAAACAACGAGGGAGGCGTCTCAGTCCTCGGGCCGCTCTAGCACCCGCGACAGGGACTGGGACCCTTGACAAGGCACTCCACGTCCCAGTGACACCAGGCTGTTTTCACAAATGTTCGTCTCCCAAGAGTCGGGGTGCTCCTCCTTGCCCCGGAGTCACCTTTCCTTTACCTCCAGGGACAAGGATAAAGACGGACACTTACTCCTCGTTTGACTTTGACACCCAAATTCTCTTCAATGAGGTCAAAATCGTCATCCTCCAGGCGGTCATCGAAGGATGCTGAGGAAAACAAACCGAGCGCATGGTCACTCAGGGTGGGGAGGCTCCTTCCCGCTTCAGCTTCCACCCAGACTACTCACTCCGCTTTCTCTTCTTGTGGCCGACGTCATCTTCTGAGTCACCAGAATCACTACCCTCATCCTCCTCCCCTTCATCTTCATCGTCGTCGTCATTGATAAAGCCTTTCAGGTTGCCTTGCTCATCTTGGTCATCTAGGTTCTCCTCCTCCTCCTCATCTGGAAAACAGGCCTGCTTGTGAAACAGACTGGGGGGAGGGGGGGGGGCAGGACCATTCTGGTAGCCTCAATGATCTCCCTGCCCTGAAGCTAATGACTGGGTCCGTGTTGAGGTTTTGGCCTGAACACTGCCTTAGAGCAGCAGCAGTGTCTGGAAAGGAAGGCCTCTGTTCTACACCCACCGGCGTATCTTTAGGCAACAGGGTCTTCTCCTCACTATTGTGGTTCTCTGAAATAATTATCGGTGGCTTTATAACCACCTGCAATCTTGTTTTCCCACCTCATACACCTAGCAGTGGTTCCACTTTCTTCCACACTTCTCTTAATGCTTATGCTCCCCTCTCACCTTTACTGCCATTCGATGGCTCTACTCTGCTGTGCCCGATGGTTGGACCTGGCCCGAGAGTGGGGAAACTGGGCGAAGAAATCCCAACACTGTTCGACTCTTAAGGAGGGAAGGTGGGTGTGTGGCTCCTTAGTGGTTCACTGTCTGGCCTTCCCACTAACACAAGCTCCAGAGAGTTGGGTCCGCTTATCCCTGGTCCTGAGCCCAGGGTCTGATCTAGCCCAGGTGTTCAGGAATGACAGAGTTCTCAAGTGGGGAGCTCACATGTGAACTTCTGTGCTTAACCAGAGCCTCTCATCAACAAGAATTCAATTATTTACACTTAGCAACAGCGGGGAGAAATTTGAGGCTGGGGCCTCCTCACCATCATCTTCCTCTTCCACAAATTTCTTGGTGACTCGGGGCACCACCTCGCCATCATCGTTGTATTCCTCCTCGGACTCCTCAGCCTCGCTCTCCACAAAATCAGACATTGCCGCAGCGTCTCCTCCCCTGGAGAAGACTAGACAAAGGAGAGATGAGGTTAAAAAAAAAAAATCAGACAAGTGACCTAACAGGGCTTTTAAACCTTGCCAGTCTTCCTCTACCTTGTGGCTACCTGCCACTGCTCTGCCACCCCACCATTTCCACCTGGGGTAGACAGAGTAGGGAGGAGACGGTCTCCATCTGTTCCCTCTCCCATTCCTCCCAGCCACGTGCTTCTATGTTGCTTTAGAAAGACTATTATTCTGGGCTTCTGGATGTACCATCCCTATCCCCCAAAGACACTTATCTCACTCACCATTTGAGGGTTGGGAGGAAATAATGGGCAAATAAGAAGTAATGTAGGATGATTACATAGGTGAGGATAGTGCTCAGGTGAGATTACGTGACTCACTCACAGGAAGTCTGGACAACCACACGCGCCAAATGTATGACAGCACCTTGTACTTGGCAATGAGGAGAGTCAAAAGGAAAATCCTTTGAAGAGATAGAACATTTCATGAACTTGAGCTCAGCTGTGTGAGTACTGGATGGAGGCATTTGGGTGAAGAAAGGGTCTCATGAGAAAAAGGAGAAGTGCGAGAACCTTTAGCATTTCCTTTGCTGATCCAACGGAAAGATGAGAAGAGTAGAGTTGAAATGCTGGTCCTCTTACCTACCACCTAGATACACTCAAGCAATTAATGTGTCTGAAGATCAATTTCTTTGTTTAAAAATTGGCGGAACTACTTACCTTGCATTGAGGTTGAAAATATTAGGTACTTAGTTTTCTCTGTCACTAAATGTTAACTGAGTGGTAATTTTCCTTAGGGTTCAACAGTTTTGTCCTACCCGATCCCAAAGGTTTCCCGGCTTTTAGACCTATGAGAAGCCTGGAGATGGAAGTGGGACAGCCTGAGAACCAAAATAAGAGTGTGCTGGACTTGGGGTAGGGCTTTAAGAACTACATACATCACCTAATCATGACATCAACGTTCCATCCTGGAACCCTGAAGCAGATTGTTGCCATACTCACCGCTAATCCCTGTCCTGTCATGTATTACAATCCCCGGCAGCTAGACCCATTTCCCACCTAGATGGATGTCTCTGGAAGGCAGAGACCACTCCCAAATGGAGGAGTGATAAAAGCCATGGAGACATAAGTGGCAAGGAAAGAGGCGTTCAGGCACTGGGTGATTCTGTATCAGATAAGCTGTATCCTTCTAGGTGTTCTGCACAAAATAGGAACCGCTAAACGTCTGCTGAATGAAACAACGTACCTTTTCATATTGCTATGGTCCTTCCTAGTTGAAATGGCTATAGGAAGATGAAGAAAATTGGCTAAGGGCTACCTGAAATGATGTAAGGTGGGCCTTAAGTTCTAGTTCTATGGTTCTGATTCTTCTGAATTCTCTTGAAGATCATCAACTACTAAGTATCAATTTATCCCGTTACCAATAAAATTAAATGTGCTCGAAACAAAATTGAAGGGACTAAGAGCTGATAAGGAGCCCTGGTGGTTGGCCCAGATCTTCCGGAATGCTATTTCCTCTGGGTTGCCAGCTAATATTAGGCACTGGGCTGCTAATGGCAAGGTTGGCAGTTCAATCCCATCAGATGATACCAAGGAAGAAAGATGAGGCTATTTGCTCCCATAAAGATTTTCAATTCTGGAAAGGGAGGGGAGGGGTTCTGATGGATAATAGTCTCCCATTCAATTTTAGGCTGAGGCTCCAGATGCTGTATTTTGACCTTGCCTGCTGTGCTAAACTGATGAGTCAAGGTCTGAAACTAACCCCCCTAAGGGGCACACAATCTATACACAGGTACTGGATGGAATGCTTTACTCAGAAGATACTTGCCCCTCAGGGTCAGTAAGTCACTCCCCACAGCTACTGCAGGGCTGGTGGTCTGCACACTCTCGGCCCCATATTACAGGTGAACGACCCCGTTACACCTCCCTGCTGGAACAGGTAAGAGTAGTAGGGGTGTGCTGGTAGGGAACCAGCTGCTATGAAATGTATTTGGGGCCAAGGTGCCCTTGGAAAGGGAGTCAACTCACATTCTCATCCCATCTGAGAAGCCAGGTGGTCTTGTTTTGCTTGTAGGTCACAGTGACGATCAGCCTGCCTTCTTCCACACTATTCTCTTCCTAAACTCTCCTATCTTCCTCTCCCACTACATACACTCTGCTGGGAGCTGTGGATCTGAAGCTTGTTCCCAAGGAACTTACTGTCGAGTAGCAGGAGATAAACAGGGAACAAAGAAAACCCTACAACAATTTTTAAGTATTGTGAGAGATGTATCTAATAAGCTCATAAGAGAAGATCTGGAAAAACAAACACTGTAACACATACACACACACACACACACACAATCAAAACCAATACAGGCCTTTCCTGGGTACTTAAGCAATTTTGCAAATGTATCCTTAGGGGCTAGTGCAGTGGATTAAGCATTGGGCTCTGAAGCACAGAGTTGGTGGTTCAACCGCCCAGGCACCCTGGGAGACAAAGATGAGGTTGTCTGCTACTGTAAAGATTTAATCTTGGAAACATTAGGAATCAGTTCTATTGATCACCATGAGCTGGAATCAATTCAATGGCAGTGGTTTCCATGCTTTATCCTAAAGAGGGATTTTGTCTTTCCATTTCACAAGTATTCTACAATCCTTACACCGACCTCTCCAATCAAAAGAGAAAAAAGTAACCAGAGATAAAAGTCACTTGTTCCAGGCTACACAACTCGCAACTACAAAAGCTGAGATCTGAACTGAGGTCGGCTCCAGTCACAGTTGCTTCTACCATCATCAGCAGTTCTCCACGGTGCTCCGGGATCTCTCCCTCCTTCTCATCTGTGTTCCCAGAGGTCGGGGACCACAACCGACTAAACACAGAAGCCGTATGAGAATCCAACTCTCTGCCATAAAGCCAAGTATTACAGAATGCCAGTCTGCTCACTGAGCGTATTTCCACTTTGAAACGTATGGTTGGGTTTTCATTTTTTAAAAAAAGGTTTATTAGTGTATACTTCACATTTCATACAATTTAAACATTCAGCCACATTAAGATTTGTACAATCCTCATCACAATCAATTTCAGAACATTTTCTTTTCCTGCTCATTGATGTTAGCTCCTTATGTCTCCCCTCATCTCCCCAGGCTAGGCAATTATCAACCCATTACTATCGCTACAGATCTGCCCAGCCCCGATTTCATACATGGAGCCATACACAACGCCAACAGGAAGCAAGCAAAAACCCAACAATGATGACAGGGTTACAGTTTTACAAGACAGATTTACATCAATAAACCATGTGAAAGCCTGCAGACCGTTGTACCATGCAGAAGTCTTGGGTTACACAAATGCTCTTTCCTTCTAGATTTGCACCTGTAAGTGCTGCCCCCAAAACGGAATGTCTCAAAATGCCTGCCAATTACAGTCGGTGCTCTAATTTAATTTTGACACTGTTCCTTCGAAGTCCAGAACCGATTCATTAAAAGTAGAGTTGGGTACAGTGACCCCCTGCTGAGTCTGCTTTAATTAGGCCGGCAGAGCCACTAACGCAGTCTTTCAAGGCCTCCGCATCTCTGCATAAGTCCTAGCTCCTGCAGATCGGATGAGAGACTGAGGGACGAGAGACTGAGAGACGGCAGCCTACCTGATGAAAACAATAGCCCTCTGTCCTGGGGGCAGCTGGTGCAGACAGCGCAGCGTTCCCTTCCCTCCTGGACCCTAGATGGGCAGTCAGGCACAGCCTGTGCTGGAGCTGGGGGGATGTCCCCCGTTTAACACATTGCCAGGACTTCCCGTTCAGAGAGCTGTGCCAGAAGCAATCCTGATGTGCTGCATCTTGCGGGAGCTTGGTATGCAGAGGGTACTGCAGCAACACTGCAGGCTGAGGTTGGCAAGCAACCAGCCCAGAGCAAAATCACCAACGTGTGCCTTCATGTATGGCTAACAGCTATCATTAACACATGCTATCTGGGACGAGACCCATAGCGGGTGCCTTTTTCTGTTTAAAACCAAACCCTCTTTATGGTTTTCAAGACTGTAATTTTTTTTTTTTTTAAGACTAAATCATTACTGGAGCAAAGAGCCTCATCTATCTCCCTAAGAGTGGCTAATGGGTTTGAACCACTGACATTGTCATTAGCAGCCTACTGCTTAACCTACAGCACCACCAGGGCTCTTTATGTTTAGTCCTTGTGTTTAGATGGTAAGTATAAATGTGCTACAGAAATAGGTCTAGTTAGGGTGTGAGGTGGTGGAAGCAGAAGCACAGCTGCAGTACAAGAAAGACGAGGCTCAAAGGGAGAGGCTGGTGGTTACCATGACAGTCCTGGAAGAAGGGAGCTGGGATCAGATTGCCACAGGGGAGGCTCACAACAGTCCCTCCCTTTGAACAAGATGTAGGAGGCAATTAAGAGGAGACCAGAGTGAAAAGAGATCTAGTTATCTAGTCTGTTAATTCCATCCACTCTTGCAGCGTCAGTCAACGTTCACATTTTTTTTAAAAAGGGTCAAGCTCCGCGTTGCGACTTGGGGATGAAGAAAAAAAGCGATGAAAATATACTTCACTTTCTACCCTGGTAGACTCCACAATCCACCTTAAAATCCATGTAAACAGGGACAGTTCGGGGTAAGAGATGTTAAAGTGACACACAACATCTATGGGAGCAATATAAAGCAAGAGGGTGAGGAGGGGCTCAGAAAGGGCGGCTCAGGGAGTGGTAAGAATTAAGAAAGCAGCCTGGGAAAGGCCACCTGAGCAAAGGCTCAGGCTTGAAAGGGCCCGGCGCTCTAGCACAGTGGAAACCACAAGACACTCACACTTTACAGTTCAGAGAGAACATTCCGTTTGAAATGTGAAAGTCTAATAAATAAAAGTTATCAAATAACTGCAAAGTCTGTGGTTCAAATCCACTTTTCCTCCTGAGGGAGACAAAGGAGGCTATCTCCTCCCAAGATTTACAGACTCAGAAACCTACGGGGGCAGCTCAACGAGTCAGATTTCTTGGTGTGTTTTAAAAGTGACTGCTCTTAGATCTGTAATGCAGAACTCATTAAAGTCAAGGGGGTTAAAATACAGAAAAGGTTAAGTCATATTTATAGGAAATAGGCCTTAATATCGTTTTAATGATGGAGAAGGAAAAAACCCCACAGCTGTCGAGTCAACTCCAACTCAGTTACCCTATAGGACAGAATAAGACTGCCCATAGGGGGTTCCAAAGCTGTAAATCTCTATGGAAACGGATGGCCACATCTCTCTCCTACAAAGCAGTTGGTCGGTTCTAACCACGGGCCTTTAAGTTAGCAGCCAAGTACTTAACCACTGCACCACCAAGGTCCCGCGAGTTGAAGTAGCGCGTCTTTAATGAGTCTCTAACAGAGCCACCTAACCTGGCTTCCACAATGACCTGAAAGAGTGGAGAAATGGAGGAGCTGGTTTATTTCATGATGGTGGGTGCTGGGAGCATTTTTCTTCAGCACCAGGCCCACCATATGCAGTGGCAGGAACATGGAAGAGGGACAGTTTGGGGAGAGGAAGAATGGTGCATGAGTGACATATGAAATCCTAAGAATCTCTGTAGAGAAGTTAAAGATTTTTGGACTCTCGACTAAAGGTTTGCAGTTTAAGGGGCTTAAGGCATTTTCCAACTTAACAAATATGTATTTAATGACTGTCTACTACATGCCTCCCTGAGCGGTTGCCTCACAAGCAAGGCCTGGTCACGTACTTCCAGAAAACCTGCCACTGAAAGCCCTAGGGACACAGCCACTCAGACCGTTATGAGTGGTCACCATCTCAACAGCTGCTGGTTACCACATGCTAGGCAAAGCACAAGGCCCCTGCCCCTAGGATATTCACTTTCTGCCCTAAGTTGCACCACAAATAAAAGCAGACCTTGCTATAGAAGTGCTAAGAAGGAAATAAATGGTGCTAATTAGATAGGGGCTGAACACTTCTGAGTGTGTGATGGAAGCCAGGCTAAGATGCGAAAACGAGTAGGTTGTGGCACCCAGAGCCAAAAGAGTTTCACAGCAGGAAAAGCAAGCTAGACTTTGCCTTATTACAGGTGATATCCTAAAGGTGAAGTCCTTGCGGACCGAAGGCAAGAGAAGGAAGCGCTGGTTCAATCACAGCCACAGAGAGCCATTGGCTCTCAGTTAGGGAAAGGACGTGACCCTGCTGCATGCAATGTGGACTGGAGGGGCATTTGAGTAGACTGTGGAGACCACTGTGCTAGCCCAGGCACAAAAAGGGATGGTGGCAGTGGAGATGGAGAACGGAAGACAGACCTGGAGGCAGAACTCACAGGACTTCTTGAAAGACTTGGGGGTTGGAAGAAATGGTAACAGAGAAGAATACCACTAAATTAAGTACCCATGAGTCCCAGAGGTCTGGTTTTGGTACCATTTGGAGGTGAGTGCCACTTAGCAGAGAGATGGAGATGGACGATCAGCTTTGGAAGGATGAAAAAGGACAGGGTCTCATTTGGCTTTGTTAGATTCAGGACCACCATGAGTCTGAATTGACCCAAAAGCAATAGGTCTATGTCTAAGACATATCCACATGCAGCTATCAAGAACACATCCTGATACATGATTATGGAACATAATCATTGGGGGGGGG